GTGTGAACCTAGCGAAACGACCGCGAGCGCACCAAGAGCGTTTTGTGTAGCCATGATTTACATGACGTGCATGTCATAATTTTTACATCAGGATCTGTCACTTATGTCCGCCGTGCAGTCATGCAATACTTTACCAGTTCAACAATATCTCATGTGAGCGAAACCACCACAGGAGTAGCAAGACTATGAAGTAAAAATGACGACATTCATTACATACGTATTATGATTTTCATGTTATGTCTATTGTGTTATACTCGTCATAACCTCATGTTATTCTATAACAATTTCGGTATTGATACCATTATCGAACTGGCCAGGAAAGCTAAAAGTCGTAGGTGGCTTGATAGATAGAGAGATAGATAGATAGATAGATAGATAGAGAGAAAGATAGATAGATAGATAGATAGATAGATAGATAGATAGATAGATAGATAGATAGATAGATAGATAGATAGATAGATAGATAGATAGATAGATACGCTAAAATTCATCGAAGTTTGCTAAGAAATACTCTGCATTTAAAATTATAGTGTTTTGTCAACTTACAACGTAAACTGTGGAATACGCATTCCTAATATCTAATATGAGTGAAGCGAACACGCTCAGTGGAGCAAACTCTGCTTTACATAGATGTACGGAAACTATTTATGGAGAGCAACTTCAACAGAAAAATCGGGAGTCGGCAGACTTGGGGAAGAATGCCTGCAGCCAGCCATATGGAGTGTACTTCTACGTTCGTATTCTCGAGATCATATTTCGCTCCATAATTATCAATAAGTATGAAAAAAATTACCCCTACGTTTGATGGGTGAAGCTCCTCACGCCGTGGGTCGTATGTCCCGTGTCACCGTAGTCGTCGTAGTAGCCATTTGCATTGCCGTGAACGTGAATAAAAACGGTGTCACAGCATATCCGCAGAGGGGATGGTGATTAGTGGGGCGAAGCATCCATCAGTCCGTGCATCCGTCTACTTCACCCCACTCGTCATCATTCAGCTCGTGAATATGCTGCGATTGTTTCTATGATGAGTGACCTGGACGTCCAGTGGCCGTTGTCTCGGTTTATCACCGGTGCGGACATTTTGAACTAGTGAACCAGAGCTAGCAATCACTGTTTCCTTGCAAGATTGTGACACAAGAAGTTGCAGGAGGTCTCCTTTTTAAGTTAACATATAAAAAGTGCTTCAGTATTTCTAAATGCTGAAAATACTGAAGAAAATAAAGAAGTAATTCAGGAGAAACTGCCAGGCCGAGCCAGCTGGTGAGGGCGGCGCGATAGCGTCGTGGAGTATTGTGGTTCACGCCGTCGCTCGGCACATGGCACTTTCGGCCTGTGGCCATCTTTTCAATGGGCTTCTAGGGGCGCGACGCATGAAAATTGTGATAGTGCTTCGTACGCTGCGAATTTCTTTAGATTTTCATGTGTATTGTCAATGACTAGATGTGACAGATGTTTCAGTGTCAGTTAATAATTGATACTGCCAGAAGTACAGGCTTAAAAGCACTTGAAACGAGCCGCTAGGATATGGCCAGGAGCAGACGACGTCTACCGCAAGCACACACCTCTCGCTCCTCGCTGTCACGTTGTGAGCGCACATGTGTGTGTGGCCTTCGGAAGGAAAGTTCGCCACAAGCTGTCGCGAATATCTTCACAATATCTTAGCGCTCTCAGTTGCTTCAGTTCATTACGCTGGCGGCGCTGACCGATCGGGCGTGCTTTTCACGCCGCTACAAAGGAGAGCGCTTTACAGGATTCGAGCACTGCTTCTTCAAGATGAGGCGGAAAGGTGTTACGTCGAAGTGAAATGGTGGTTACGCATCCTGCGAAGTTCCTAGTGACCCAAAGAAGGTTAAAGTGTGGGCTCACGCCATACCTAGGGAAGTTCGCGAGCTGACACATCATATCTACGTTTGTGAGAAGCGCTTCTCGAACAGCGACTTTGCCACGTCATGTTACATGACAGTGCATGATATTCATATAATATTTTGAAGCAGCTTCTGGCAGTATTGTAGCTCTGTAGTCCAACAGCTGCATGTCATTAAATGCGTGGGTGTTATTCCTACACAGAACGTGCCTAGAACCGAAGACATTTCCATCTGTCTCAACTTCGCTGTCATGAACAACGCTGACTTTATCTTCACAACCAACGACGCCAACGCAAGCTTCCTGCGAAACGAGCTCTTCAACGCTGTCACCTTAAACTTTGGAGCCAGCGAAGAAGCACTGAAACAAAAATTGGCCCTGTATCTGCGTGTAATCTGCAAATGTCATCGAAAGACGATAGTGTTGCGCGTGGAGAGAGTAAAACAGTACTTATTTGATGTTCTGCGCAAGAAAATTGGTGAATGGTGTTCCGTAGGCGCTCGTTATAGCGCCTCGAGCGTGCAGCGGAGGGGAACGAGCGCATCAAGTCACGTCACACGTGAGACATGACCACCATCTGGCAGTTTTATTTGGAAAACAAAGTGCGTGTCCATGAGACGGGCGTGCGCGCCCGTCTCAGGGGTGATAAGGTGTAGAACGCAAGACGGTGGTTAAGTGCCACCACCGTGTCATCTTAGCAAAGCGTTGGAAACACTCGCTTCTTCGTGCAAGCGTTACATGGTCAGCGCAGCGTGATACGCGCTACGGTCCGTAGAATTACTTCTGTATGCCTTTTTTAGTAAAAAATGAACATGCAGAATACATACGTGTTGTTATGGTGCCTCAGACATGCGCAGTAATTGCTTCTTAATTGACAATCGCGCACGTATGAACACTGGTTCTTGAGGAACATTGGTGGGCGCTGCGGTTGGGGTCGGTCGTCCGGGGTATTGGCTGGTGCTGTGTAGAGTACGCGGTTCGCATTAACGGTGAACAAACAGAGAAGTGTACAGACAGACAGACAGACAGACAGACAGACAGACAGACAGACAGACAGACAGACAGACAGACAGACAGACAGACAGACAGACAGACAGACAGACAGACCAAAGCTTTTGCGCCAAAGGTCCCCAAGAAAGACTATCGTCTTTAAAAAGGAGGACGTGACGCGTGAATGCTGAACCAGATTGGAGTGGCCTTGACCAAGATAGTGGTGAAAGCGTTGCGCACGTATTTTCTCCTCCGCGAACGCAGTTTGGCGACAGCGGGCGCGTAAGTTGCGTGCCTGATTTCGTGACGTTTTCAGGTCACCCGAGCGAGCGCAGTTTCACCACCACAAGAACTCTGGTTCTGTGGTCTAGACCAAGCTAGATGCTATGCTACCCCACTCTGACAAAGAATCACTTGCACCTGACGTTTACAAAAATATTCAGTGTATGGAGGAAGCCTTACACATAAAACGACTGCAGATTACGGTGCGAACAAGCGTAGCAGCTTGACCTATAGCTTTTCCAGCCGACAAATTGATCGAATAAACCGCGATAATCAAGTTTCGGTGGACAATACTACTGCCATGTGCCAAATTCGATGGCGTGCAATCGACCACTGCTATTGAAGTATGCATACCAACTTCGCAAAGTGTGCATAAAAAGTATCGTTAATGAGAGCGATATCTAGATTTTGAAGGTTTGTTACTTTGAGCAATAAGTGAGAACAAAGAGTCTTATGCGCCTCAGGAAACAAGCAAAACGAAAACATTTTTACGCACATCAATAGCTATAATCAGTATTACCTCTTCAGGAGCTCCGGTTTTTATATATGTGCATGAGCGTGACTTTTTTCGGTTGAATAATTGTTAGCGTATCAAATGCGAAGCATTTGTTAGTGAAGCAAAGACAGGGGAAGCATATCTATCTATCTATCTATCTATCTATCTATCTATCTATCTATGCCCCGCCGCGGTGGTCTAGTGGCTAAGGTACTCGGCTGCTGACCCGCAGGGCGAGGGTTCGAATCCCGGCTGCGGCGGCTGCATTTCTGATGGAGGCGGAAATGTTGTAGGCCCGTGTGCTCAGATTTGGGTGCACGTTAAAGAACCCCAGGTGGTCTAAACTTCCGGAGCCCTCCACTACGGCGTCTGTCATAATCATATAGTGGTTTTGGGACGTTAAACCCCACATATCAATCAATTATCTATCTATCTATCTATCTATCTATCTATCTATCTATTTATCGATCTATCTATCTATCTATTTATCTATCTATCTATCTATCTATCTATCTATATATATATATATATCTATCTATCTATCTATCTGGCATGGAGTACGCATGCGTAGCGTGGGATCCCTACACCAAATGTAACATAGACAAATTGGAAAGAATTCAGAGAAAAGCAGTTCGCTTTATATATTCTAAATTTCGTCACACGGATTCTCCATCTGAACTAATGTCAGCTAATAACATTCCACTACTTCAGTCTAGAAGAAGGCAACTGCGCTTAGACTTCCTCAGTTCCTTGCTTAACCATAGAGTTGCGATTGACCCTTCAGTGTATTTAACCCCTTTGTCAACCAGATATACACGACATCACCAACCAAACTCTTTTACACCATATTTTGCTAGAACAGATACATATAAATTTTCCTTTTTTCCACGAACAGTGTCTGAGTGGAACACCTTGTCTGAGTGTGACCGCGTTGCATAGTATGCATGTTTGTCTCATAGTGTATATTTGCTGATGTAGCACTGTGTATATTTCCTCATCTTACTCACTTTGTTATTTATTACGTTCGTGATCAATCTTTGTCCTCTGTTTTTGTGATTCCTGATTGCCCGTCCTGCTTCGACCACGTTTTGTAGTCTGCAGTATGAATAAATCTATCTATCTATCTATCTATCTATCTATCTATCTATCTATCTATCTATCTATCTATCTATCTATCTATCTATCTATCTATCTATCTATCTATCTATCTAAGTAATGTGCTCAAGTCACCCAGATTTTGTATTTCAGAGTGGATGTGCTTGTTGGAGTGCTCACCCACAGGAATTGCAATGGTGAAATACTAATATAATTTTGCTCACGTATGCAATACTGTGTGCCACATGAATATTTCTTTAACTATTTTTTACAGAGCCACTGCTTTGTTCTCTTTGGGCAAAGTATAAAAATGCACGTGAACATCTCATGGACACTACCACACTGGATCTTTTTAATGCAGTTTGCAAAGAACCAGTCTACGACGGTTACCCAAAAGAATGCCCGAAATATGATACATAAAACTTGTTTTCTGCCATAAACGTCCGATGTTGTTGTTGAGATACTTTCGAAACTGAAATTCGCCCACTCAAACTGAAACATTCTTCCGCCGGGTCTCCGTTGCCATTGCAACAGTGTTTTCCGGACAGGCAATGCGGAGTTCTCGGGACAGGCAACGCCTTTCGGACAAGCTAGTATCGATCTGCTAGAATTCTCTCGGCGGTCTTGCAACAACAACCGCTGGATCATAGTCTGTGTCGATAACCTCACCAGATATGCGGAAACCCCTGCGATATCAACTTCCACCGAGGAGCCTGTCGCTTCTTTCCTGTTAAGATTCATCATTCATCGCTATGGTCGTCCAACGTGTCATCATCCGTGTTCGTGGTCGCCAATTCGTCCCGGACACTGTGCAACAAGTGCTTCGTTTCTGCACATCGGAGTCTTGCCACTCAACACCATATCGTCCCCAGAGAAATGGCCTTGTCGAAAAGAGAATGCACACGCTTTCTAATATGCTTGCTATGTATGTATCATTCAATCAGACGAACTAGGTTGACATCTTGTCATTTCTCACCTGTGCGTATAATACAGCCCCAGAAGTACGAAAGCACGGACGTCACTCCGTTTTGCCTACTGCCTGCTCGACATTAGATCACTGCACGGGTCATTTTTCCCGGCCTGAGCCCGGCCCAATATTTTTAAATATGGCCCGCACCTGGCCCAGATCCGAAAAGTTTGGGCCTGGCCCGACCCGGCCTGATCTGTTTCGGCCAATCATGTATAGAGCATTAGCAAGCAATGAGTGATATTCGGTAATTAGGATGATACTTGCGGCCAACAAGACGTTTTCAAGACTGTCTTGAGAACTTTTTTGAGGTTGATAAGTTTAACTGGTATATTCTGCGTACGTTTGTGTAATTACGCCCGTAACACATACAAAAAATTATTGCAGGGTAATTCCAATTTAATTGGGCTGCACCATTTAATTGGTCTGTACAATTTAATTGGGCTTGACAGTGCTTACCACATTTTTTTTCTTTAATTTCAGAGAGTGACTACTAAATAAACAACACCCGTGAATTGCAAAAAAGCAGAAATTTAGAGTTTTTACATAAATTGCATGCAAGCCGGGTTCGTCGAGTAAATGTGACGAGACTACTGCAATCGTCATTTATTACGCCATGCAATTACAAAACACGCTTTAGATAATTCTTACAGCACTACCACGTGGAGGAAACTCCCTATACCTCCCATGTATTCACTCCCGGCATTGGCAGAGTCGTTTCAACCGAATGCGGTTGCCGGGCATCCTACTGGAAATACATCATGAACAGAAAATTTCTTTCATGACGTCACTGCTGAGGTCCCGAAGTAGAGGGGAGGAGGAGGAGGAAGGGAAGAAATTAAAGACATGGAGGTGAACCAGACGCACGTCCTTTCGGAAAAAGGTCTACTGTCTAGTGTCTCTAGCGTTTCGCGTTCCCAAATTGCGTTCGCTCGCAACGAAAGATTTGGTGGACGGTTGCCGCGGAAGCCTTACCTTCCATCTTCGCATGCTTACGCAATGCGCCCGTGCCTTTTTTCAGGTCCACTGGCCACTTGGCCAGTGTGGCTATAAAATTTTGTTAATTTTTAAAAATTTTGTTCGTGTTTCCTCAGGAGGCAAAAGTTAAGCTGACTGATTTCTCAGTAAGACGAAACACGTTTTGCACAAATAAAGTAAATATTGAATGGTTTTATGCAAAAAACCGACACACTTAGTGTAAAAGTGTCGATCTATAAAAGCAGCTTTCATTTACAACTGACATAATGTTTCGAGCTTTGATGTGTCTTACATATGCGTTAATATCCGAAAGACGGCTGAAGATAGGGAAGAAGTTTGAAGGTATTCGAAATTTCTAAACTCTGGGTACCGCAGGAGCCGTCAGACAATAATCCGGTAAAAGGTGTCAATGCACCCACGCCTATACACCCCCGCTCCCCTGTTTCAAGGTGCACAGCAGCAAATCAAAATATTAAACATGAGTTTTCCTATGTACAGCTCTTACGTACTTCCCCCGCGGGGATGGTTGCACGTTTTTAGTGCCATAAGAACACTTGCGCTTCGTCATATGAGGACGTTTGTTAATTACTGTCGAAATACGAAAAACACTGTTTCCGTAAAAACAAGCAAAAACTTGTTCTATATGCGTGGTATAACTGTCAGTTGAAGCGTACGAATAAACAGAAGGGAAGAGAGGACAAGCGCTTATGATGGACATTCCAGTTAAACCCTTACATATTTCAGTAATTACCAAGTGCTAAATATTCGCTATTTCCTTGCGATTGGCGCGTTTGTCATAAAAGTCACTTCGCATCTCACAGTTAAAGTACACCAACAACAATTCCTGAGTTATTCATAACTCACAAGTCACGGTGAAGAGTCTACAAAGTACGGAGGCAGAGAAAGGCTTGGCGAGCATGCGAATGTGTACACTGTCAAACTTTTTGCCTCGTTAGAAGTGAGCACATATAATATATACACTAATATAGCATTAGCAGTGTACTGTGGCTGTTGCAGCAGTACCACCTGGCAAGTCGTTTTCGCCGGTATGCAAATGATATTGAAAAAATATATTACACGTTTCTTGAGAGCACTTGCAGCATACCGACGGAGCCAAATGCCGGACGCCATGTATTTCTCAATTTAAGTGCATGCTAATGCACTCCAACTGGTATAAATTAGCCAAAGCCCCCCCACTTTCGGCATCATACGTAACCTGGGCTGCCTCGGGATGTTAAACCCCACAGAGCAACAAAGCCAAACGGCGTAGACACTCCATGATATTGATATACAAAGTTCTTCAAGAAATGGGTTCAATATTATTTGAAAACTACAAAAAGGAGGCATCCGCGTTCTAGTTGCACTATTCGCTTTACTTTGGGAGAATGCATCTTTAAGTGTGTAAAAACAATAATTAAGGCAGTAAATATAAAAATTAAAACAAATGACTTTTAACCGTTCGAGATAGCTAGTAAATTCGAATGGGCGAATGAAAGTTCTTCCTACAAATAGTCAATAGCCATCTTGAAATTTCAGAAAGGCGGCAGGTGATAATCACTACTGAGCGTTGAAAGCTGGCTAATTTAGCTGCCGAAACCGAAACCGATGCACGAAACAGCGCATATATCATTCACTTCGAAAACGCCCTCAATAAAATTTTAATTGTTTTAAACTTTCTGAACAAATATTAGTTTCAATTGCTCTAACTACCGTCGTAATTATTATTAGTACGCATCCGAAAATGCCTTCTACCAAAGTAAAGGAAAAACGGCAGGTAGATAACAGATGCCTCTCCTTGTAGTTTTTGATAACTATTGGACCTATTTCTTGAAAAACCCTGTATATGAGACCCGGTACGAATATGGGCCTGACTCAGGCCCGGCCCCGATCAAACAAAGATTTGACTGGCCCGACAAGTCCTGTAGACCGGGCCGGGCCGGGCCACTCGACATTCGTGCAGCTGTCTTGATACACTATTTCCATTTGCACTTCATACGGAGGAGTCAGTTGCTCAAACATTGTGGTGCGCTAAATTATCCCTACAAATTGTTCATCTGCGCACACTGGCATTGCAACATCGCTCCAAGCAACAGTATGATCAACGCCACGACACCGCTTCATTCAAAAAGGGGGACCTTTGGTGTCTGTGGGCGCCTCAGCGAAAATGTGGCTCATGCCACAAATTTTCATCGCAGTACGTCGGCCCATTCGTTATCATTATACGCTTCATAATCTTGACCCACATGGTGCCATGCTTGGCGTCAGCTGGTTATCGATCAAGCCGAACCCAGTTGGCGCATGTACCTTACTAAAACTGCTGCTTGGGCGAGGTGGTTTCTGATTACAATAAATTTACTGGTGCAGAGGCGGAACTTCTAGAAGGCGCTGTGTGAGTGTTCCATCTTTGCTTGCACTGGTGAATCTATCGTAAGCTTATATCTCGTCTAGAGCAGTGCTATGCCGCACTCCGGTAGTGATTCAACTCACCCAGCAGGCTTCGTCTGTTAACCGGGCAACAATACGGTATGAGCTCGGCCACAGTATACGAAGTGGAAGCGGAAGCTAGTTGGTTTGGCCTATGAACCCCATCATCTCGGATAATCAATATATATATATATATATATATATATATATATATATATATATATATATATATATATATATATATATATATATATATACGCCGAAGACCGACACTGGCACTCTGAAACATACGGACTTGATATATACTATTTTACCTTAAACATGTGGGCATGTGGGCACCACCATATCTTGGGCTGTTAAGTTGAAGTTTTCTTTATTATTTCGATTGAAATGTAAATTACTAAGGCCACAAAACATCGTGTGCATCCATTCAACCGTTTTCATGTGTATGCGTGAAAACTAACACTGTTCATTTAGTTCTTGAAGATAGAAAACAGAAACGTCAACAGCCTTCAAGGTGACACTGAAAATCTTCCGCAAAATAGTCTATAGAACTAGATGAAGAAGATGTAGAGAATAAGACAGCTGGCCCAGGATCGGGTTTGGGCTCTGTCTGCTTCCTTCCAACGACGCAGCTTGACCATTGAACCTTGCGGCTTCAGTCATCTGTCCGTAGCGTCGCGGGCCGGCGGCAACGTGGGCTTTTTCATCCAAGAACGCCGTCCACTACTCCTTGGCGATAGAGTAATTAACCCAGCCGCAGCTTCAGGTGCCCATCAGACTATCAGTGGACGGTGTCTACGCTTCCCATCCGGTATCGGGGCATGGCCTAACGGACATCAAGCTACCACTTCCTGGCAGGTATACGCATGGGCTCCTGTTTTTTTGGGGGGCGGGGAATGCTGTTCAAACTTTTCGAAGCCTGCATTCCCTTACCAGTACTCTTCAGTCATACGAGCCACCATGGAACGCCGTTCAGG